TAGGGAGAGACACCCTGTCTCCACGCACAGAGAGAGAATGGAAGCTCATGGCACCTGGGCAGTGTGCTGGGTATGTGTATGTGAAACTCACATCGCCAGCTCCCCGACTCCACACATAGTCCTCTGCACACAGCCTGTGCCCCCAGCTGAGGCCAATAACAGAGTTCCCGTAGCCACTACCATCTAGGAAGAAGGAACATCTCCCACACTTCAGGTGGGTCCTCTTGCTTGCTTTACTCCATGAGAAAGGAAGGTGGTAGAAGAGAAAATGCATCTATTGCTCTCAGAGTCAAGGAAATAGTTACATCACTCATCTGCATCAGCCTTAGACTTGGGGGAATGACAAGTGCAAACACCAGAAAATCCATGCTCAGGGCTCTCTCTCCACTCCCTGCATTTGCTCTCACATAATCCCAGACCTCACTAAGATATTCACTGAGCAAATACGAAGCCCTCATGTTGTGTAAGACTCTGTAGAAGCTGTGGCAGAGGGAGCAGAGCATGTGAAGATGGTGAAGCTCAGGCACTGTCTTCAAAAGAATTTACAACCCGGAAAGGAAGCTACCACGTGCACAAACCATTTGAGTTCAGTGCAAAAGGCGCACAACTTTACCAGCTTTTGGAGTTTGGGAAAAGAGTTCTGTCACAGCGAGGATGATGTCAGGTGTTTCTCCATTTCCTGCCAGGAGCTTTGCAGAGACAGGTGCACACAACCATCTGTGCTGACAACATCAGCACAGGTGGCCTCTCCTGCACATATTTGCTTTCCCATTAATCCAATTTGGAGAGGCCACAGTAGAGACTTAAAGGCTGCTGCTTCTCCATGTCACATGGAGGCCAGAAGACAACCTGCAGCCATACAGACAGGAGTGCCGCCTGAGAACCTGGGGAGGCATGAAGGCCCTTCATGGGAATTGCAATGTCTACCGCGATGCTGTGAGATTGCAAGCTGAGGAGCCTTTGACAGCGCAGAGTTTCCTATGGGAGAGTATTCTGTCTTTATTCCTCAGCAGGAATGCAGTGTATGAAAACCCTACAAATTGCAGCGTTAAGCTTGCCTCATCTGGAGTGTGTGTGACACTGACTACTCTTCATAAGACAATATTCCGCGATGACTGCAGATCATTGCCCACCCCACTCATCACCACGCGTTTACAGAGGCTCAGCTTTCAGTGGGTGGAGTACATTGAATAATAATAATATCAATAACAAGTGAACTTGTTAATTTTACTTTACAATATAGGAGTTTACAGTGAGCAAATTGTGAAGTGAATCCTGTATTCTCATTACTGTCAGCTACCAGACTGAAGATGGTTTTCTGCAGGAAACCAATACAAACATGATCACTAGCTCCATACACTGATTCATTACAGAAGTAAATTTTTTCCTGTTTATAACAGGGTTGGCATACTTTTTTCTTAAAGGGCAAGATAGTAAACATTTCCAGCTTGCAGATGTATAGTCTGTTTCAGCTATTCAACTTGGCCACTGTGGCCCCAAAGCAGCTGCAGGCAATCTGACAAACGTAGACGGCTGTGCTGCAATAAAGTTTTATTTACAAAAACAAATATCTGGTCTGGAGACCACAGTTGCCAACCCCTTGTTTCAATAGTTGTTGACCTTCAAAAAAATCAGCTTATTTCAGATAATATATTGTGAATTACGTGCAAATTAATTCCCTACTAATCCTGTCTTTTTAAAAGCCCTTTGGAAGTTGTATACCCTCTTTCCTTTATTGCACAATTAATTACTTCTTGACTTATTTCTGGTTGAAATATATATTATCTCACATGTGTGCCATGAGGCACACTATTGAACTAACTCCCTGGTGCCTGTGTTTGATGCCCACAAATCTTTTTATAAATGTGATGTACAGCCTGCTTTCCCAGTATATGCAGGTTAATTTGTAACAAGTGCAAGGTACCTGTACAATGAATTCAGGTTTTGTGTCCTCAGGGCAAAAACGTTCACTCTCTGAGAGCTGTTCGCGTGAAGAGCTGGTGTGAACAGAGGCCCTGTGGACTGCCGGTCAGGGCCCTGTCTCCGGAGAGGCGTCTGCGTGCGGAGGCCAGGGCCCTCTGGAGAGCAGTGGTAACCCACTGGTCTGAGGCTGCAGTGTTTAGCCTATCAGAAGGCCGTGGGCCAGAGGAACTCAAAGGTCACAACCAAACTTGGGGACGCTTCCACTTCCAGGAGCCACGAAGGAGTGTTTGCCACCCACTGGGGTCACCCCGGGTGAAAGAGTGTTTGTCTTGGACCTCATCCTTGAAAACTGTGTGTCACGTCTTGGAAGAGAAACCGCACCAGGAATTGGTATATAGAGAACACACAGCTCCACTGGAATTTTTAGAGGGATGCTTAATCATCTTTCTCAGATTAAAAAAAAAATACTTAGAGCAAAGATCAGGCTTTTAGAGGCCTAAGCCTGTAGATCTCTAATGTTCTTACTGTTTGGGTTCCAGAAGAAACAGAAGACCTTGAGTCTATTTACAACCAGAAAAGACCTGCAAGAACCTTAGGAGGCTGACCTTGAGCTGTGAGCTCACGGACACAGGCACACAGAACATGTCTCATAAACTAAGTGGTCACTCTCTACTTCCCTCTGATGACAGCGCAGCAGGTTGCTGGGAACTGGAGGAGGAAGGGTTAAAACCCAATATTTATCTCACAAGGAATCTCATCTCCCACAGACACGTGTAAGCAGGGCCGCGTGTAAGAAAGCGCAGACAATGTCACTGCCAAGTCCATATTTTAAGACAACTGAACACTGTTGTCTGATTACCAATAGTATGCATTCTCTACTTTGCAAGCTTTGCACGGACGGTATCCTCTTTATACTCTTCCTGGTTAGAGACTCCGGAAAGCGGTTCTCTCTAGCCTCTGTTTCTTCCAATATAAAGGGAATAATTCTACCAGCCTCCTGCCGCTTCAGAGATGCGTGGAAGGGGGATAAACAGTATCTGTAGGATGCGGGGCATTAACTGGAGATCAGTGCTGTTTTGTGAGTCAGGAAGGGCTGCCCCAGTGTGGGTGCCAGAGAGAGCCAACAGAAACACTGGCTCCTCAGAAGGGTCCTAGCATCTGGGCTTACTGACCGCATCGTTGTGGAATTGTTTATAAACAGCGGACTGTCAAGAATTCAATGTCAGCTTCAATGTCAGTGTGGCTCTCTCATGCAGGTCAAAGCTCAAGTTCTTTGCAACAAATACATGCTGCACATTCCCGCTCGGATGCCATCCCTGCACAGACACGCTTCTTTTTGGTGCTTATTTTAGCTGGGTTGTCAGCTAACGAGATCCTTAAGGTTGAAACATCTGATGAAGAAGAATGCTTCAAGCGGCGCGATCCTCTGGCTCTTCTGGAGGCAGCGATGGGTCACAGGCAGGCGTGGGGCAGCTGGAGGAGGGGCGCCACCCGTTACCAACGGGATGCCACAGTGATGACAATGGACGTGTCCTGTGACACGTCCCAAGACCAGACCATGATGCCAGTGCCGTGACCTGGAGCTAAGGTTCTGTGGAGGCTTGTGGGAGAGACTGTATTTATAGCAATAGACAAGCAACATTTCTCCGCCTGTTTATCTGGGCCCCTCTCTCTCATAAAGACCGGCTGAAGGGCATGGCGGTACCCCATGGTAGCCGAAAAGTGGTTAAGATATTAGGGGAAATGTGGCTCCTATTCTTTTTGCGAACTTTTTTGTGTAGGCTACGAGGATGTAGAAGATACAATCCCTATGCTTTCAGACAGCACAGTCTATTCAGAAGGAACAGAGGGCACACAAAAGTCTCCATTAGGTTCAAACAAATGACAGTGATACTAAGATGCAAAATAGAATCAAGACGGGAAATTTCATATCCAATTCTAATACTTGTTGGAATCAAACAAAAGCCATGAGAGAATACAAATAAACACCTCAGGGCCAGACACTATTCTGATTACTTTAAACACTTGTAATTTCATAGTAACTGTATGAATTAGGTACTATGAGCCACAATGTACCTCTACCCCAGGCTGGCCCCAGGAGGCTGCGCTCCTCCTGAGCTGTGTGCACTCTCCCTGGAGCGAGAAAGAAAGGGTTCTAATTCCTTCTTGTGCAGGGAGGTGAGTTCTGAGTGATACACCACACATGAAGGATAATTAGCTAATTAGCTAGTATTCTTGCTTATCACAAAGAACATCAGCAGATGCCAAGTGACTGGCAGCAGTTTCTTCATCACATCCGCCCCTCCGCAACCTGAAGTTGCACACGGCTCAATGCTTAGCTCCTCGGACCCCAGGACGTGCCAAAGACAATGGCTTAGGGAATCACTGCGGCTCTAGGGAAGTCTGAAGGGCAATGCATTATGCTTGTGCGAGGGGAGGGTTCCGATGCGGGATAGGGCACACTCCCTCAGCAAAACATTTTTCACGAATTCCTTCTCACTTCCTTCCAGAAAGTAAGCTGAGTGAAGAGTGTGGAATACACCAGCTGAGAAAACCCAACAGCCACCCTCTCAACCCCTCCCGTTAATGAGGGAGCAGATCGACTTGCCAGACGCTCTAACTTGGGGGCTTGTACAGTTTGTGTTCTGACACGATTGACAAGCCCATTAGTGAAATGAAGAAGTATCTTCACAGAGAAGTTGACAAGAGACATTCTGAGAAAGAATCTTCTGGTTTGCTTGTGCAATTTCAGTCATTCATTCATCCAGTTACTGAATCTCAAATAAAAATAGGGGAAGGATAATAGCTTGAATCAGCAGGGGTGGGGAACGTCCAGCCCGCGGGCCGTATGAGGCCCTTGAAATCACTTGGTTTGACCCTGCCAAGGCAGGAGGGATAAGTTAATTAAATATTTGAGCAAACATTGCAGGCCAATTTTTAAGTTGATAATTTGGTATGGCCCGTGAATGATGTTATAAATATCCAAACGGCACTTGGCAGCAAAAAGGTTCCCCACCCCAGAATTATAGTAGTTTAGACAATATCGATGAAGGCAGAAAAAGGACTACAATTCTTACTTGTCAGTGGGCCAGGATTAACTCTTTGTGGACTCTGGGATGCTCTGTCAAGGACAGCTGGTACGGCTGCAACAGAAAGAGAAGAAAACCATTAGTCGTCTCTCCAAAATGGTCTGAGGCGACCTGCTACCACCTCTCGTTCACATGGCAAAAGGTGAGTGGGCCCACCTCATCATCATCTTTTTCTTTCCTTTAAAATTAAAATTATACCTGCCTTCTAAGAAACCCCCATCAGCGTCAGAGCATAATGGAAACATTCTGCTCATAGTCCCCTCTCGACTTGCAGGAACAATGAAAGAAGTCTTCCTATATCGTTTGAGCCTTGCTTATGAAAAGGAGGCGCATCCATTCTTACATTTTGTAAAAGTTCCTTCAAAAAACCTTATTCGTAGCCATAAACACATGAGCGGTCCTGGGAGCAGGGAAGAAATGAGGGGGAAGCAAAAGTTGGACGAGAGACACTGAACTTTATGATGTGAGATGGGCAGTGAGTCATCTATTATATAAGCAGCTATAATTTTATTGATACTGGTATTTGGTTGCACTCAAAACAGGAAAAATGGAAAATGATCAGGCAGTTGTCACTGGGCTGCTGAACTGGGTTGCTTTGCAAGCATCTCAGCTACAAAGTACGCAACGGCTGCCTGATGAGGAAGGGGGTTCCTCTGGGGTTCCCCAGCCTGATCACGTGATCTGTGGCTATTTTCAGAGAGGCAATGGGGAACAGGCCCCCAACAAACAGGGAGCTTTAATCACAGCAGGGAAACAATGTGTTTGGGCCTCAATAGAAACCAACAGTAACAATGCTAAGAAATCTTTCTCTAATACAAAAAAAGGAAGAAGAGAATGAAGATGCATGGGCAGTGAGCAAACCCACTCCCATCCCTCTGAATTTCAGAGCTGGGAGAACCCTGCCCACCTGGCCCTGGTCCACATTTCAACCTGCCTTTTCACACCTCCACACCTAGCTCAGAGGGCCTGGAGTTCATAATATAGAACCTCACGGATGACATTAAGATCCTCACACGGCCGGCATGGCTCAGTGGTTAAGCATTGACCTATGAATCAGGAGGTCATGGTTAGATTCTTGTTCAGGGCACATGCCCAGCTTTAAGGCTCAATCCCCAGTATGGGGGATGCAAGAGGCAGCTGATCAATGACTCTCTCATCATTGATGTTTCTCTCTCTCTCTCTCTCTCTCTTCATCTCTGAAATCAATAGAAATATATTTAAATAAAAGATCCTTTTGTTCAACACCACAGTTCTGAAAAATGTTTCTTTTTATTCTCTCTCAAAATTTTACTAGTAGTATCATATGTAGAAGCTCATTTACTCCCAGATGCAATAATGGATTATGACAAAGAGATAATCAACTACCCCTGATTTTAATGTGACCAGAAAGGAAAATTATATCTTAGGACAAGTCCACTCACTACCTTGGTACCCTGAGTTTAGTATGATCATTATCTAGAACCCATCCCCCACCCCAAGTCCTTGCTACCATTGGAGAACACTTTTATTACCCCTTGGGCACTAGAACATAAAATATTTCTGGTCAAGTTTGGCAACTGCAGACAAAAGTTGCAACCATGAGTGGCCTGTATCACTGACAACTATGCGCTCCTTGAGAAAGTTCCAATGGCTCAAAGGAAGAGGAAAATTAAGTCAATCGTGGCATGGCACACAAGCCCATGTGTCATTTTGGTCAGAGTTATCCAGCAAGGGTGTCTCAGTTTTCAGCTGGAAACGGAGAAAACGAGCAGACACCAGTTTCCAGGCTCGGGTCGGCGGTACGGCTGACAGATTTCTCCAGAATGGTGCCTGAAATGGAATGTGGGGGTCAGTTATGAGGCCCCAGGGGAGCGCGCAGAGCCAAGCCTCAGGCCTGGAAACGCTTGGGGAGCCGGCCGCTGGGCCCCTCACGAGCCAGGAGTCTGCTTTCCTTGTAGACAGACATCTGGTGCACTCCCCTTCTTGGTGTTGGTATTTGGTAACATTTTCATGAAGCAAAAATTCTCACTCAGCTAACACCCTGCACAATATGTGCCGAATAAAGACATGAAAGGAGCAGATGACTCCTGGGGAAGAAGCACAGGCCAAGGCCAGCGCCGGGAAGGTACTGGTTACCAAAGTAAAGCATAATAAACACTATTGTGCCATCTTAGCGATGGAGGTGTTGCGCCCAGCTGTCAGTTTTAGTGAGTGTCAATGCTGTCCTTAATATCTAGCAAGGCTGGGCAGTGAGGGAGACACTAATTAGGGATGACAATAAGCCCAAGATCCTGACTCCAATCCATTACAGAGGGGCTTTGAAATGTGGGTGCTACAAACAAGGTGGCTACAGCCCCTGGCCTCTGGGAGCCCAGCTTGAGAGGGGTGGGGCTGAACTTGAGATAAACAGGCAGTGAAGAGGAAGAGAAAGGGAAGTTGGAGCCCAGGGAAGCACTGCACAAACACAAGATGTAAGACAGACAGGGTGTGCGAGGGGCTTTGATCTGTCGGAGGGAGTGGGGTATAGCTGATCTGGGATGTGTGGAACTGGGGAGAAGTCAGGGTAGTGGCGAAGCCAATAACAGTGATAATGATAATGAAAATGATAAGACTCTCTAACATTTACTAAGCACTTAATATTTTGTCTAGCTAGTATTCTGCAGGTGCCAACTCATTAAACCTATTATGTAGATACCCATACTGTCCCCATTTTTCAGAGAGAGACACCAAGGTCCAGATATGTGCCATAGTCGGGAAGTGGAGGTCAAGGCTGGACATACTGCTTTTCATTAAGGAGAACAGAGGTGTCAAAACCAGGCAGTGGGCAGTAAGCTAGCCTCTGTGCCACGTGACAGCAGGGGCCCAACGTCATCACAGCAGTGCTCAGAGGAGCGACCAGAATCGCAGGTTGGCTGAGCTGACAGCAATACAAGGTAGGCCAGTCAGGAGCATAGGACTGAGACGAGAAGACCAGAGTACTGAAAGGTCAGGCTGAGGTGTGGGGAGGACAGAAGTATCTCTCCCTTTACAATGTGGTTTTAGATGTTCTTAATACCTGCAAATTCATTTATTGAAGTAACAGTCAGAGTGATTTGACAGTCCAAAGCTCAGATGGTGACTCACAGGCGGTGTGCTGGACCTGCCACCTCTTTCCAACTCTGTGTTCAGTGATATCATGCCATTAACTTGAAATCAGCCATCATGGGAATATTTACACCATAATAATTGGCAAATGCTACAAATCAAGACCTTTGAACACTGAAGCCTGTGGAAATTCCACCTGCCCTTCAAGATCAGTTTGAGTGTCTTCTCCTCCAATGAAGTATTTTTTATATTCTTCCAGTTGAAATCCATCTTTCAGAATACTTTTTCTTAATACCTGGACCCGGGCACATAGGTAATCCTGACTTGCCCAGTGAATGATAAATTTGAAGTTTGAACACAAAGACCATGTCTCATTCTCCTTTAGATCCACCATAATATTAGCTCAGTCCCTTAAATATATGCTAAATGAATGCTAAATACATATTCATAAAGTTACTGGATAGCTCACTAGGAAGTCTTTCAGGAAGAGCTGTGAGGCATCATTATTTTAGTTCTATAATTATTTTAAATTTGTCATTTTGTGGCCTTTGGAGTCCCAACTTACACAAAAGAAGATTCTCAAGTGCATCATCAGGTCCAGGACAAGTGTTCTCCTGGGACATTGATACTCAAACTTGAGGCACAGGCAGAGTATTTTACCACATATTCATGGTAGTTGGCCCCTTAAAAGTGGTGAAGGGAAGAAACAATGAAAATAAGATTGTTTCATTTCCTTACTCACTTCCTGTCACCTAGAAGGATGCATCTGTCCAATTCTGATCACAGCAGAGAACCACCTTGTTGATTTCGAGGTACACCATCCTTGTTGCCCATGTACTGAGCTGAGACTGGTAGTAGTGACTTGTAAGTCCTGTGAATTGGTTGCTTTGGCCAATTCATGAGTCTCCTTGTTGAGACCGGGCAGTGTTTCAGAAGCATAGCGTGTTAAATGTGTCCTAAGAAAGCATACACTTTGCCAGAGGTTTGGAGGTGTGTTTTCCCCTCTCTGGGCAAAGGCATCTTCTATAAACAGGTTGGTCTAGACTCCACCACTCAGCCTCTTGTTTCTTCCCAAGCTCCACTCATCAATTCTCATGTAATGTTTCTTGAACAAAATCCTGTTCTCTTGGTAAGTAGGTACCTGAGAGCTAGAGAAAGTGGCCATCAGTCAAAGCTGCAGTGCATGAGCAGTTCTGATGTGCCAGACACTGTCCTAGATGCCAGGAACACAGAAGCGAAGAGAGGCCTTTCTGGGCCCACATTCTGGGATGTGTGTGGCACCATCAACAGATAAGCAAACAGGTAGCACAGGTGGCAGAGTGGAGCAATAAGATGTGGGTGAGTGGTTACTGTGGCCCTGCAAGCAGAATGGAAAAATAAGTGCCTGAAGGTGGGTTTGAGGAATAAGGAGTCCAGTGTCGTAGGAGAGGAGCGGGAAAGGGGACAGGCAAAGGAGCTGAAACTGCAGAGGCCGGGGCCAGACCTGGCACCGTTCAGCAGGCCAGGGGAAGGCCCTGTGGAGTGTTTACCATGGCAGTTTCCATAAAAGGGACCCCACTGAGTTGCAGCTGCGATTGCTGCCAGACCTGTCCCACTGCAGCGGGTCCTTCCCACTGGAATCTTTCACTGTGACCCATAGTTGGGAATGGGAGGTGTTGGCACTGGGCCAGGAGGCTGTCTGGTGGACAGTTTTAATTCACTCATTACCTTGATTCCATTGTAGTTGGTCGAGGTCATAGACACAACCCAGAGGGCCTTTTGTTGATTGAGCACCCATTATGTACAAGGCCCTGCACCAGGCACTGGGATATGGCGGTGAACAGACTAACACAGGCCCCGAGGCTCACTGCTCTCTATTCCCCTAAACGGACCCTCTGCCCCAGACCACTGTGGATGCGAGCCATCAGGCACATTCCTTATTCTAGGTGTCCGCTCACCTATATTATTCTCTTTGCTGCCTCCAGAATGGGAAGAAGACCAGAGGTTAATTT